TTTTCCTGGCATTCATCGTCCACAGTGCTTTCCGAACGTTTCGCGCGTTGTTTCGGCTGCTACTTAAGGATTTCGTCTTCCTTTTGGTGAATATCGGAGAATACAGGATGAGTCAGTTTTTCTTGCAGGTTTGGAGATAGCAAGGTATCCTTGAGAATGATTGACTCTATTACATAATGAAAAACACTTTTTATTAACAACGCAGTTAGAAGGCGAACAGACTGCACATCTTCTTTAACTTATTATTTACTGCTTACTCTTCTTAACGGCAGGGTATATATTGTGAAATATAACTTTAATGATGCTGAGATATTTGCAAAACTACGAACCGCAGGTGTATGCGGTGGTGAACGCCGGAGAGTAGCGCACTTCACCACCATACCATCCAGGTCCTTCGTTTCCCCTGTCTCTCAGTTAGTTCTATCTATCAGTGCCATCAGCAATCACCTGTGGTCCAGAGTTTTGCAAATATCTCAGCATCATTAAAGTTATATTTCACAATATATACCCTGCCGTTAAGAAGAGTAAGCAGTAAATAATAAGCTAAAATTGTGATTATAACTGAACTATTGCTTAACCGTTCTGTTGATGAGGTTCAGAACGTTTAATTTATTCAGCGGTCTAAATCGAACTTTTCTAACCCTCTAACCAGCAGGGACATAATTGCTTATTATCGGTTTTTACCGTGAAATTTCAGAATTGGGCGTGATTGGCGTACAAGCTAGTACTGCGAAACCCTCGGTCTTTAACTGGTCTAGGGTTCCTTTATGCTTTTAAGCAATAATCTTTCTCGTCACATAAAATGCTTGTTTCCAGTTCCCACTATGTGGCTTGGAAGTTGGTAGGTATATGTAGTAAGTGTTAAAAAATAACCGGATATACATGATCTTTCCAAAGTTGTGTTTTTAACTTTCCGGAGCTTTTAGACCCCTTATCCCTCATCCTACTTGTGAGTGACGGTGAGCTTCGTCAATCGGTGTACACCGCACTTCTTTACAAGTAAAGCCTCTGTGCTTTGGTATGAAAGACTTTCGTTGAATTCCTACGTTCACTGATGGAGAATTTCTTCTCCCAACCTACTGCAAATTTAAAGGATAAGCCAAATGTGCAAAAAGGTTTATGTTTTAATTAATGTGCATATCTTATATCCAATACCTACTTCTAGATGTTCATTTTTCCATTGTTGATATTTATCAGCGATACTTTCCCAGGCACAGGAGGGAACTTCAGAATCAAAGACTGATCCTAAAACAACTGAAACTCCAACCTCTGACTGGAAATACATCAAATGGCGTGAATTAACTGTGGCAACCAAACTACCGATGTTGTCAGCCGAAATCCTCAACTTCGAAGCAGTGTTTCATCGTAACGATACACTTAAATACTCCACCTTGTTCTGATTCACCAAGATCGTCTTTTCACAGTACATCCGATATTTCTTTGATTGCAAAAAGCACGGATTTGATTATCCAGTAATACAAAACACGAACTGCCATGCTAATAGAAATTTTTTGGGTTATATGCAAGAACATCTCGCTTAGAAGCTTTGCGTGTCTGTTATAACAATACCACTATCAATATGGAAGAAAATTTGCTAAGACGGNTCTAGATGTTCATTTTTCCATTGTTGATATTTATCAGCGATACTTTCCCAGGCACAGGAGGGAACTTCAGAATCAAAGACTGATCCTAAAACAACTGAAATTCCAACCTCTGACTGGAAATACATCAAATGGCGTGAATTAACTGTGGCAACCAAACTACCGATGTTGTCAGCCGAAATCCTCAACTTCGAAGCAGTGTTTCATCGTAACGATACACTTAGATACTCCACCTTGTTCTGATTCACCAAGATCGTCTTTTCCCAGTACATTCGATATTTCTCTGATTGCAAAAAGCACGGATTTGATTATCCAGTAATACAAAACACGAACTGCCATACTAGTAGAAATTTTTTGGGTTATATGCAAGAACATCTCGCTTAGAAGCTTTACGTGTCTGTTATAACAATACCACTATCAATATGGAAGAAAATTTGCTAAGACGGTTGTCTCTCTTGTTATATCTTATAGATCATCACTGTTGTTTCTAAGTATCCACACTCCATCCTTCGATGATTCGTGCACATGGTACTCGTTACTTTTCAATTTTGAATCATCATTTTCCGAACTTTGTTGAAGTAGCACTTTATCCCTTTGCCGGTGCATGTTCGGTAAAGCAGAATCCTCTATTTAAATGTTACTAGTGTATTCTTTTAAATGGATTTAACATTTGTTAAGCAACTGTCTTCATTCATAATTATCCTTGTATATCTAAACTACATACTATGGAATTTATCTTTTAGAAATCTGTACCATCGTCATTAACCTTGTCAACAATGTTTTGCACCTTTTCAACTTGTTATCTACTGCCTACTCGTTTTTAACGGCAGGGTATACATTGGAAAATATAACTTCAATGATGCTGAGATATTTGCAAAACTCCGGACCGCAGGTGTATGCGGTGGGGAACGAACGTGCTACTGCCCTTTCCGGGGATTAACGCTTTCACCACCACGCCATGCAGGTCTTTCGTTTCGCCTCTCTCTGCTAGTTCTGTCGATCTTTTGCCATCAGCAAACACCCGTCAACGGGATTGATCTGGGGGCCTACCATTGGCATTGAACCCAGTTAAACTGAGGCTGGAGTTGAAATCGGAATGTTTACTTTTTATTTGATCCTTACTACTCCTATACTATTTATACTATTTGCTCCCGAAGCACCCGCAGGGTGTGGTGGTAAATTCGTTAGCTCCCGGAAAGGGTATAAGTGCGTTCGTTCCCCACCGCATACACCTGTGGCCCGGGGTTTTCTTTAAATATCTCAGTGTCATTGTGGTTGTCTTATTTATTTTAATTGTATGAAAGGTTATCATATGCTATTTGTGACCCAAAATTTCTTTCATTAGAATTGTCATATTCATTTCTTCACTTCGGTGGGTGTTTGCGATTACGTATAGGTGCGACTGGCTGGAGATTTTTTAGTCTTCATGAATATCGCTGAACGCTTGTCGAAATGAGTCTTCCTGGAATCCTAGGATGACTCCAGTAGAGCGTTCCCATTTCCTCACTACGGATAATTAATCGCCGAATTTTATGCTTCTGAGAGACCTTTTTCCTGATAAGCCTGTTACTTATTTCCCGAACCCGGGTGGATTCATGCCTTGGGATTTGATGGATCAGTTGCTTTCTTGAACGAAAAGCTTTGCCACAAAACTTTCTTGGCATCACAAAATTTCGTTGACTTTTTATTTACTGCCTATTATAACTTTTTTACTGCAGAATATGAAGTGACGTACTCTTCTTTGTTTCTTCCATGATTTTGTTTCAATACTTCACCGGTTTGTGCATGTACCAGTTCCTTTTTTGAACGAGGTATCGTTTTCTATGTCATTAATTCTCAAGGGAAACACTCCAACAACAGGAACGTTTGCGTTCACTTTTCAAGCTGTGTCGTAGAATCGCTGTAGATGCTGTGTTTATATGATGTGTAGTAATATTTGTATTGTAATTACATAGCCTAACATTACATATTTTCCACTGTACGGATAGCTTCTTGCATTCGAATCGTTTCCTCTCATCCACCCACAATTCCTGAACATCGAGCCTTGTTTCTTTTGGGTTCGGCTTGAGGATACATTCTTCTTCGTCGCGAATGTCGTTGATTGCTGGTTGAGTCTGTTCTCCTTGGAACTCTGAGATAGTCATGCTAGGGCATTCTTATGTGGACTAAAGGGAACGAGCTTGTTCAGAACACTTCTGGTTACAATTTTCCGACCATGGAGAGTTGACAGGCTTGGTGGGCGCAAAATCGCATCAAACCAGGGCCTACGTGCGTTGTGTTATATGGTTACGTTAAAATAGATAGAAGGATAAAAAGGACAGACCTCTCGGCGTTGATCAGTCACTGAGGGATGCGCCTTACATTCGCCTTCATTAAGCACCCTTGGAGGTGACTGAATGTATATCTGGCCTTTACAAAATGACTCACAGTGACCTACTGATGTATCGATCAGTGCCGCTATTCTCCAGACAAGTCTGGTACCAATTTGACGACCCCAGAGGGATGGAAGGCTTGGCTTGGTGAGTCTGGGGCGCGGGGATCAATCCCATATGTATTGCAGACCACTGAGCTACACGCGCCGCGATAAATTAGATACAAATATAATTCCGTAAAAGATCTTTATTTGTGACTGACGGAAACTCGACCGGTCTTCAGTGAGCTTTCTCTAGTCTTCTGTCTTTTACTCTTTTCCTGTACTCTTTAGCGCCTTTCCGGTGTATTTTCGCCCAGGCGAAACAATTATTCTTGTAAGAAAGTGAACGAGAAAATCCCATAAACATGGAAATTGTTATATCTACAGGTTGGAGAGCCTGCATCCTCAGTACCATGCATGTGTCGTGTTTTCCTTGTTGTTTCTTCGATTTTTATAATAGTTTGTTCGTCGTTCACCGTTGTTAACAGTTTTCTTTTTCCGTACATAAAATTTTCACATGTTATTGCTCATCAATATAGTCTCTTTTCTTTCAGAGAAAGTTACTTAGAGTACGAGGTGATCAGTATTATGGTTGAAGTAAGTGGACGTTTCTAATTTAATGCTAAACATTTCCTGTGAATTTTTTGCAAGAAATTTCCCATACATACTTGTCACCTTGATGGCGAAGTGAGTGATATTTGCCTCATATGTGACATTGTGCTGTTAAGATCTGAAAGAATAAGCAAAATTTTATCGTTCATTTCAATTTTTAATTCATTTAAATCGCCTGATTTTCCATTAATATTTAGTAAATCATTACCGCACAACGTTACTTTCGAAGTCGCGATAAAGAATAAAGAATTTAATGCGCAAAAACACGGCGAAAGGAAAGTTTTCCAACACATTTGCTTAACATATTTTTATCATATTTTCTCACGTAAGTATTTTCTATTCAGAGCGCTTAAATCGCTTTAGACTTTAAGTTAATGGTGGAAGCAAATCTGGAAGAGCGTCCCGCCTCAAGCGGTTTGGATTGGGACAAATTATTTAAAATGGCCGAAGATTGCGATTTGGACGACGAGATTCGTGGACCAATCGAAACCGCCCTAGTGAATTTGTAAGTGTCTTCGATTTTATTATACAAACAGTTTTTCTTCATTTATTGCATATTCTTTTTTTTCATGTCAAGGTATGATGTGAAATTCAACCACAATGATGCTGAGATATTTGCAAAACTCTGGAGCGCAGGTGTCTGCGGTGGGCATCAAACACGCTATCACTCTTTCCGGGGGTTAGCGCATTCACCGTCACGCTATGCGGGCCCTTCGTTTCGCCTTTCTCTCAGCGATGTTTTATAGATGCTATCAGCAATCACCCAATAGTCATTTTTTCTTTTTTTTTTCATGTGATTGACACATAACACCCAATGGTATTTCGATAGCTGACGACAGATTCTCGAACAGCTGATTACTTGAGGAATTAAGAACTTCATAGACCGATAGAAGGAACCATTATACAGTATTCTTTCAATTATAGCTTTCTTTAGCACTAAAACATCTATGAAAATTTGGAAAAGCGGTTTGAATGTTTAAACTTTTCGCGTGAACGCTGCAGCCGGAAACACCAACGAGAGATTGAAGAATACCTACTTGCCCTTCTGTGACGAAATCCTCCTTATTCAGTTCGTTTTCGAGTTCAAAATACAAGCTTGACCCAAAACATAAAGGAAATTCCATAGAATTTCCATTTCCATAAAAAATTCCATTCGAATAATATTTCATTATGATAGAACAAAAAGCTTTTAGGCGAAGATCTGAAGATGGAATTAGTTTTACCTCAGCTAATGAAGTTCACCATAAGCTGAGATATGTTGGTTTAAACCTGAGATCAACTATTTTCTCCTTATATGCATTGAAATCGATGCATGGCAAATTTTATGCGCTGAAAAAGCCAGTCTTCTTGATTTTTGAATTTTTTAGGGCTCATATATTTAGATGTTACAGGCTTTTAGCACTACAATATTTTTTCTGGACATTCTATGCACTTAAGTGCGTTAAAGTGCATGGTACTATTTTATCTCAGAGAAAGCAAGGAAGTGCACAAATTGTCGGCTATCCGAAATCTAGGCGAACTACTGCAAAATGAAGGAGAAGAAGCTATTGAAAAAGTCCTGCCAGCAGTACAGGTTGGTCATTCGTGGTCTCGTGTGAAACAGATTCCATGTGGAAATGAAAGCAAAAGTGATAGAAGAAAAGTATAGAAACCCTAGTGAGAGAGCCCTAGGAATCGAATGCAATCGCCTGAAGAGAACTAAGACGATTCCCTAACTTCACTGTTCTTTTAGCGCGCCTTGTTAGAAGAGCGATCGAATCTGGATCTACACTGCGAGGCAGCGATTGTTTTCAAAGGAATCATACAAAATAGTAAACTATGTGCTCGATTTCCGTTAGTTGCCAAAGCTATTCATATTCATAATATTAATCTATACATAACAGCTCTTAAGATAAAATATTCCTTACATCTTCTAACATTCACTCATCAACAAACCGGAAATCTTAAATACTTAGATTTTGGGGCTGTCTTATCTCTTATGATTAAACACGAAGTTATAACTGGACGGATTGAACACTGTTTATCATGAAAATGACGACAGCAATGAGCTCAGAACAAAATTTGAGTTGCTATTCGACCCGTAATTTATTGGGTATTCGACTGAAATAACCAAAAACACCTATTTAAAGGTAATGATGAATGCTTATGGTTGTAAACTCATTACCATATAAGTAGATCTTTCCATTTTAATGATGAAAAGGGTGTGCAGTGCAGCGGTTAAAGGTAGTTTGCAACTCCAATGTGGTTATCGGTTCAACCCCGTGCTCCATAATAACCAAGTTTCCCACCCTTCCGGAGTCGGAAAATTTTTACGAAACATGTATGGGAGGATAAAATCACTGATTTGATACATTTCTTGGTCCCACATAGTTTGGTGAACACCGGACGCTTTTACGTCCTATCTTTTATTGGTATTATTAAACATAGATTATTAGCATCCATTTTGTTGAATGAGTCATTGTTAAACTGGGATCACTAGCTCTTAGTGTTTTCATCATGATGAGCCTCGTCATTATCATCATCATCATCATCATCATCATCATCATCATCATCATTGTCATAATCATTTAAGGAGTTTCTTCAAGTCGAGTTCAATTTTTTTCTAGTGAATTTCATTCTTTTCAGCAGGCTGACTAACACATTACTGCAAAATATTTTGGAGAATGTTACGGGACAAAGGGATAATTGTAAGTTCAGCATTCATTTCCATTCATATTTTTCTACTGTTTGTTTTCATTTTTTCTCAGTTTTTAATTTTCAGCCTTATTATTTTACAAGTTTACAAGTAGCTTGCATTACGTCCAGGTATATGAAAAGCTATTACTGACTTCTAGGAAAAGCAAAAATGAAGGGAGAGATGGCTGAAAATGTGAATATTGGAAAGTAAGAAAATAGTGCAGTGCTAACAGATTGATAGCACTATACGTAATGTTGGAATTGTGGACTCATTAGCTGAAAACCTTCGCGATTATCCCATAAACTTTGCCCACCAAAACCTATTGTGCTAGTTTTTTTTGGCTCTATACTAGTAATTAACTTTCGGCCGTTTACTGAAATATTTATACTCTTCATATTTCGGCGACTTAGTTCCGTCTTCACGAGCAATACTAGGAGTCAGCACTTTTCCATTGCTTTCTTCACCTCACAATCGTCGCTCATGGTGGCGGTGTACTTCGAATAAAACGATGATTACTAGTTTCCATTCCGTGATCCTTAAACCATTTCCGGCAGTGAATGCAATTCGTGGACGAGAGTCGCGAAAAGTTCCGCCGATCTCGTAGGTCTTCAAACTTAGGAGGAGAGGAGGTTTACATCGTCTTGAAGTTTATTCTGATGTTCTTTCCGTCCACGTGCTATTGACTCTTTTCATTGCATAATTCTTTCTACTTCTGTTCAGCGAACACGAGGCCTTCCTCAGAGCCTGGAAAGGTGAAGTTGACAGCAACCTATCCGGCCAAACACCTTCATAACCAAACAGAGAAAACGCTAAACCAAGATTTCAATCACATTTAACATAGTCCTGCACACTCACCGCTTTCTATGGGTCTTCCACTGAGCATGTTGTGTGAAGACCGACCGCACAGAATTCACATGGAAGCGTAATATGCCCCTCCCATCAAAACAACAGGTTTATATACTGTCCAATATCACGCGTGATAATGAGGCATTCCTCCCTGTGGTTCATTTTCTGATTTCTGGAATTAATCCAGAGCGCCTGGAGAGTCTTGCGCGCTTGTGTTCTCGATTCTTGCGCGAGGATCGTAACCCTTACTTCAAAATCTTCTCTGTTATGTTTCTGCGTGCTATGCGTACCTAGTGGAGTAAAGGATCAAACGCTACCGAAACTGTCCTTCTCCTTTAAGAATATTTGATTTTTAAAAGAACCTTCATGAAGACGCCCAGTCATCTTTTTTCGTGAAACTAATATATCAGGATTAGTAATATCGAAGCCGTTATGTTTGGCCATGAAGGAAAGAGCGAAGCACTGTAATATGGGATTCCAAAATTTCATCGTTTGTAGGTTATATAAAAACATTTTATAATAATCGATGATTGCCATATATCAATTTGATATTAGCAGTGTTTAGTCTTCGTCAAACGCGTTCGTTGGAAGAAAGAATACAACTGCAAATTGAAATACATGATATTCCTACGGTAGAACCAAGTGTCCTAACAAGTAGTATCGCTATGGTTTACCTGTCTCACTTTAAGTGTTCTAACAGTTATCGTAGAGATCTAATTCATACGAGCACTGCTAATATAAATTACTAAGCTAATCACGTTCTAATACACCAAGTAGTCTAATTACTGTAGTCTAGTTATGTTCTTAGATAGTTTCAGTGATTAGCAACGGGAATGGTAGTATTCGTATGAAAGTCGCCGCCGAAACACAGGTCCATTACTGTGAGTTCAGTAGTTTTTGTGTTCTCGTTACCATTTTCTTTGTAGAATTTTGCCTTTTATATTTTTTCTAACATACATTGTTAAAATCAGGGGCACGTGTAGCGGTGTTCGGAGGCACCCTGCAACGCACACGTGTAATCGATCCCTGCGCCCATGGCCCACCAAGCCTTCCATCCCTCCGGGGTCGGCAAATTGGTACCAGACTACTCTTGGAGGATAGCAGCACTGGCTGGATTCATCGGTAGGCCACCGTGAGTCATTGTAAAGGCCAGATATGCATTAAGTTACCTCCAAACGATACTTAATGAAGTCGAATGCATGGCGCATTCCTCAGGGATAGATCAACGTCGGGAACTTTATCCTTCTTATCTTTGTTTATCATTAGAATCATCAGGTCTTCATCGTTTACTAATGAACTAACATTAACACATGTTGTTGCGGTCGTAAAATATGAACTTACATATGGTAGTATCGCGTTGTGGTCAGAATTATATAGCGTGTGGCTTTGCATATTCAATGGTGCCTGCTGTTTTGGAATTCAACAAAGTGTACCGCATCACTAACACACTCGCCTGGGTATGAGTCATACGCGACTCATGAATTGCCGAAGATACTTTAGCCTTCTAAATACGAAGGGACATGTCTCATAATAAACTATATCAGTTCAAATAAAACAAGGATGAGCACATGCTCGTAAAGATTGGTTGTGTTTTCCTATTCTATCATAACGAAGTATCGCGAGAATACAATTTGCCCACTTTTAATGAGTTAATAAAAACCACCTGATTCAGATGAGATAGAAGCGCCCACAGCTCTGGGCAGCCAGGACATCCCGCTCACTGTGTAAAAATCCTTTTTAGGCTGTATAACAACTTCATAACCAGAATTTCATTAGTCTACGATGACGTTGTTATTGGCGTAAATATGGAGTACTTGATAATTCCACAAAAATTATTTCCATTTCATCCGTAGATTGTCATACTGAAACGAATTTGATAATAAGGAACTGAAAGTCGGTAGCCAGTAGGTGCAGCGTTTTCCTCTTGCTGATAATATCCTTCTTTTAATGCAAAGCATTATACAGACGAAGCGAATACTGGCTAATTTCTACAACCTCTGCGGGAAGCTAGTCTTTGGGAGGATTTCTCGAAGACGATGTGCATGAAAAATGGACTTGTTTTTGATGTCCGATTCAAGCTCGGTGGAATGGACACCTCTAGATGCTATAACTGTGCGTATCCTAGGGTAAAGTCAACATGATGAACGACTTGTTGAGGCAGAGGAAATGAGCGGTTTAAAGTGATAAGCATCGATGATGTAGCTAAGAGGGCAAAGGACACATGATTTCGTGCCTACGTTTTCGATTCTACGATTCCTCGAGCACTAACTTACAGATCGAAGATCTAGACATGTAAGCAGGATGATAGACCAATTAGTGCTACTGAAAAGGCAACGGCGACAGCGATTCTGAGAGTATTTGATATCACTTAAATGAGATAATGAACCCGATGTTCCGATCCAGGCTAACGTTCAAAGATCGAAAAATTTATGCACGCCAAAATGTCGAAAATCAGGTGGCTGGACACGTGATACGTCTAAACAATAACCAATGGCCAAGGGACTAACGACTGGGTCCCAAGGAGATGCCATGTGCATGGAAGAAGATCCACTAACGCGGTGGTCAGAATTGTTCAGAACCTAGAAGAAAATTATGATACTCAGTGAATGCTTAGGGTGAACAGAGTTCATCGGGATATTGTTATAAGTGGCAGGTGTTTCTGCCATTCGTACGAGCCATCTCACAATTACGGGAAGCGTACGTCATTGAGTTATACGGGTAATCATAGTGAAATTTCAATTTTCTGGAATCCACAAACTGTTTTTTTCTTCCTTTTTCACTTCACAGTTTGTGACTCGTACGGCGAATTGACTGAAAAACACTAGTTTCGTTCACCCGATCACGACAGTATTCGCGAATGCACCATCTATGCGGTCACACTTCATCTTTAAATTTCAAAATTTCGAGTTTGTTTTAAGTTTTAGAAACTCTTAAAAGGAAAATGACACTTTATAAACATACTACATACTCTTGGAGCGATAGGATCAGCACTACCCTATACGATTGTTGAGTGTCCATTTTCTCAAATGCCTTATAGAAAAACCATTGTCACCGTTAATACGTTGAAGTGTGCAAGTATCTTTTCACTGTTCAATAACCCTCATAATTTGAAGCTAAGAGCTGTTTTTAGTGAACTTGTGTAAAACAGAACAAGAGGACAAATAATATGTCTTCAATCAACGGAATGTCTCTGTTAAGACCACTTTCCGTAGTTTTTTCTCTCAAGGGAAAGTTGAGTGTTAAGAAATAAACGAATTAATCTTGCGTTTCATTCTTCTTTTGAGAGCAGGACAATTACCGGAGAAAATTGCACAGGAAGTAATATGATGGTCTATCTCTTTTTCATTCATTCATATCTTCACTTTTCTTTCAAAAAGGCAACGAACAACCCTCATCCCTGTTGGCACGACGGAACATACTAGCTTCTCTAAAGATTATATGGTCTGTCCATTGTTGCCTTGCATGTTTCTTTGCGAATCATAGAGCTTTTTTCATAAAACAACAAACAGATGTCTCCACATGCGTCATCGTGGGTGTTTTGTTGTGTTAACAGACGTAATTTGTAACGGACTCAGACCTGTTAAGTGGTTTACGGAGGTTTTTTTTTTACAATACTTTCTATACTGTATCAATAGTTTGTCAGACTTAGATGTAATACTAAGAGCGGCAATAATGAGAGAGTTTACTGCCCCTAAAAAAGCTAGCATTTACCGCATCTTAACCGCGGATGAGTTCTCGTTTTCTTAGCCTCCACGAAATCAACGGTGGATGTCACCTTTTAAGACTACTGGCGTCAACATCGCTGAATTATCCCACTGTCCGAATATCAGCATTCACAGTGACGATTAGAAGAGCAAAAGAATTATGAGCTGTTTTGTGTGGCTTTTCGGCTTTTTTATTGAGAAAAAATATTCCACAAATCTTGAACACTCTACCTTAAATGAAGGTTACTTATGAATTCTAAATTCAGTATTATCATTTGTTAGTTATTACTCCTTTAATCCTCTTAATCGGTTGTATAAAGCGGAACCTGGAATACCACGATCCACCGCCTGGGAGACTGCTAGACGTGCTAAGTCAAGGAATATGAGGAGCGTTACACTTCTGATATATTTTCCCTTTGTGTCATTGTTTTTGACGAGAAAATAGCTATGAGCGTAGCTCAGCCTCCAGACGAAATGTTTCTAACTCATTCGCAATCTGGGTGATCACGATATTAGTTTATACGCCGTAATTCGGTTGTAATTCAAAACGTCTTCTATGAGCGACTCAAATCTCCAGGTTTTCAAATGTTCCAGTTATCAAAAAATAATTATCAGCAGTTGGACAGCAACTTGCAGAGTCAGAATGAACTTCATAGAAGAAAAAGAATCGTCATCGTACACCTTTTGCAACATATTATGAATCAGATATTCAAAATGAGTTTCAGTGAGTGCTGCCGCCTGGTTGGAAACACTTGTTGAAGTTGCCGAAAGAGTGTCACTGGAATCCGTTAAGCAATATGTATGCTCCTTACTTTGTTATTTTTGAAATATTTTGATAAACGATAGGAGTTATTCAAAACGTTGGTGATGTATTTCTAATGGATCGAGAAGGAATTTCCCTTCAGATAGTTCCTATCGTTCAACAACAAGCAGAGCCAGCACAACGTGTACAGCGACGAATCATTGCTTCCAAGTTACTGCATAAATTAGCTGATATCTTACCGGCAAATGAGTGGGTGTCTTTTCGGTTTTCTTGGGATGTTCATAAAAGGTAATGCTTTTGCTCAGTGTAGAAGATAAGTGAAGAACAATTCGATCACCACTGTAACCACGTAATACGCATTTTTTGAAAAGTGGGTGTCACCTAGTTTGCGTCAAATTTCTAGTGTTTGTCTGTCTGTTTCAAACTGCTCTTGATGGCGCTTTACAGAGTCCTTCATGTTACGTGTTGAGAAAAATATATGTATTGATCGTCACAAAGTAAAATCAAACGCCGTTATCATTTGTGATCATCGATGCACCTTCCCGAATTCTTAAAATCGTTAAGCGTTGGACGTTAGTTAACCCCTTTGTGAAGCGCTACGCATGATACTCTATTCGTAGCATCATAGAGGTGACTGAGTGCAAATTTTGCCTGCATAGCGAGCGATTCGCCGATGTGTCAAGTCAGTGTTTTTGTCCTCCCAGAGTTATCTGGTTCTAATTTCTCGATACCAGAGAGAGGAGGGGGAGCGTGGTGAGCCCGGTTAGTAGGAGAAAGCTGCAGACCACGTTAGTATTGTAAGGTACCTCTAACCACCGCTCCACACATTCCTTATTAAAAGATAAGTGAACTGATTTGTTGGAGATGACGACGAACCTCATCCCGTGTCATTTCACAACCACTTGACTACGTTTTTGGCCATATTGACGTGAGGGATACACTCTGCACACTCCGCGGCACATCTACGCATATATCCATGGATTCGACTCTCTGTATACGCAAGGCGCATGTCAATTCGGCAGAGTAGTAAGAAGAAGTTTCTCATCTGAATCCACCTCACCTATGTCCTAGTGTAGCTACATGACCACTTATGGTCTACGTGTCCCCTATATTTGGTCTCTAGGATGCGTGACATGACGCTCGAGACTAATGGAAATCTTTCGCCTAAAATCCGTGGGTTACGCACACACCAACTATTAATATTGCTTCAATATCTATACGATATTTCTAGTTGGGATCCTTTCATTGCTAATCATATCCGACACAAAATTTATAATGCAAAGAGGACGAAACTTCTTTTTCTTTGAGTAAAGACATTGAATATAGGTTTCTACTTCTGTTCAGCAAAACTTCTGTTCTTTTATTGAATACAGGGTTCGTAAAGAGCTTGGACCATGTGCACAGATGCTCTGTCAGGATTCGAATTCGAATGTGCGGACATCGATGGCACAACGACTTCCAGGCATCACTATGGCACTCAAGTAAGCCACCCATTCAACTGTTTCTACTTGTTTTTAAAGTACTTTCAACGGCTTTACGCAGATCATTTAATTGTCAATAATAAACTACAATTGTCCGGATATCAATGTGGGCACCTAACCTTAAACTCAAACACAAATATCTCAATCTTAACTTTTTTATTTACTGCCTTTTTCTTCTTAATGGCAGGTTATGTTTCGAATTATAACTCGTATGAAATGCTGAGATATTTGCAAAACTCCGGACCACAGGTGTATGCAGTGGAGAATGAACACGCGCTGTTGTCCTTACCGGGGAGCAGCGCACTTCACCACTACACCATCCGGGTCCTTCGCTTTGCATGTCTCTCAGCTAGTTCTATCGATCTTTTTGCCATCAGCAATCACCCGTCAACGGGATTGATCTGGGGAGCCAATATCGGCATTGAACCCAGTTAAGCTGAGGCTTAGTTATAATCACAATCTTAACTTTTTTATTTACTGCCTTTTTCTTCTTAATGGCAGGTTTTGTTTCCCGTCAACGGGTAAATAAAAAAGTTAAGATTGTGATTATAACTAAGCCTCAGCTTAATTGGGTTCAATGCCGATATTGGCTCCCTAGATCAATCCCGTTGACGGGTGATTGCTGATGGCAAAAAGATCGATAGAACTAGCTGAGAGACATGCAAAGCGAAGGACCCGGACGGTGTAGTGGTGAAGTGCGCTGCTCCCCGGTAAGGACAACAGCGCGTGTTCATTCTCCACTGCATACACCTGTGGTCCGGAGTTTTGCAAATATCTCAGCATTTCATACGACAAATATCTTAATTATAAGCGAAACTTCATTAATAAGAATTCAGAGGATAAAGGACAAAGCTGTCGGCATTAATCAATCCCTAAGGCATGAGCCATGGATTCGACTTCATTAAGCATCGTTAGAGACGATGAAGTGCATATGTGAGCTATACAATGACTTGTGGTGGCATACTAATGTATCGGCTCACTGCGCTGTCCTCCGAGCGATATGATACCAGTTGACCTTACAAGAATAAAAGGATCGGTGGGCCCCGGGCGTTATACCGAACCAACGACCATTTGTGTATTGCAGGCTACTTCTAATCACTGAGCTACATGCGTCCTAATAAGAGTACAGAACTTGACAATCTATTCAACTCAAATACAAGTATCTTGACTACTAGTAAAACTTTACTTATAGAAATATGAACCACAACAATCTATTTATCTTTGGCAACGAGATACAAGGTTATTCTATGACGGTTAAATCCCAAGTTTAAAAAGTATACGGGTCATGTGAAGGTATCGTCAACGATGGGTAGATTGCTGAAGATTTCCTTAGCAAGTAATTATTGCTCACTTACTTGATACTTGAACGGCCCGTCCTCACTGGTTGTGCGGACCCCAGCATAATCACCATTTATCGGAGATTTGCTGGTTGAGCAATGGGGGTTCTCTGGAATCCCAAGGACAGCCTGGCCAAAATCTGCCTCAGGTCGTCACCACGACAGGCAACCGCAGCCCTTGTGGATCAGAGGAAGACTTGCCACCATGAGACTTTGATACCAGGACGGTGGTGGATCATGGTATTGGTGTACTCTTAACAAGGATTCCTGATGGAAACGCCGGACTCCTTCTCAGCTTGGGAGACTGTCGAGGGACGAATCCCCTTGGTGTACGTCGCAGTCTGACACCCAAGAATACCTCCATACCCAAGCCATGATAAGGCCGTAAACCGTTGGGAAGAGTAATTATTAAGTAACTATTAAGCAAGTTTCACAAAAAAAAGGAAACTTGACGAAGTTATAGTTACCAATTCCAGCTACTTAACTCGAAGAAGTAGGTTTTACTTTTGGAAAACCACTACAATCCATGAGATTGACTTATGAGAAGCCCATAGAAACAGAACGATCATGCAGCTGCCCAAAACCAGCTAATTTTTGTGTAATTGCAGAAATTCTACAGATACAGTATCGTTGCTGTTACCGTGTTTCGTACAATTGTACAAAGATGACGACATGACTGTGAAAGAAGCGTGTATGAATAATATTGCCCAATGTATACCACATTTCACCAATGGTTAGTTATTTACTAAAGTTCGAATCAAGAGGTTTATACTAGTATGGATAATTTTCTCAGATGCGAAAAAGAATACGGTATTCCCAATGATCAAAAAGTCAGTTGAACACAGTGTGGAAAAGAAAGACGAAACTCTGATGGTGATCGCAAAGAATTTTGGAGAATGGTGAGAATTTCAGTTTTTGTGTAGGGAGTATAAAATCATTGACAATAAGATTACTATTTGAGGATTTAATCGAACTGCTGTCATGGTGAGAAAGATCATCTCTGAACAAGGCTGCGCCTTGACAATCCCACTTAAAGCTGATTTTTGCACTTTAGCGTACTTGACAGCGCTCAGGGCTAAAACATGTTAATGACCAAGACTGACTTGAATTTACGTACTCAAGCTTAGAAATGACGAGCAGTTAACTATACAATGACAGGTGTTATACATTACGCGACGTTCTGGATCAACTGGACATGTGCTGGGTGTTAAACACCTACTGCAAAATTGGTCAAGTTTCATTAAGCAAGGATGAGAACACAACACAGCAGATGATACTGACTATGTGTCGAAGAATGACTGCATTCAACTTACCGGTTAGTGCCTTAAAAACTACTACTATGTAGCCAGTTATTCTAAAGAAGCGATTTAGAACAGCACACGTAAAAAAACATGTGGACTACACGATGATAAGTAACTACCTCACTAATTTAAGCTGCCTTGAACAGAAAAATGTGGTGAAGATCTGTGTTGTTGGCTAGGATATCAGCAATTTTCCCTCTTGAGCAGTAGCAATTCTGATTCGAATTTTTATAAGGCACTACGGTCAGATCCAGTAGGGAAACGTCATACTATGGTAGCCTGAAGAGGCGTCATCGTTCTAGGACCCCATGCTCAGTGACCATCTTTCTTTCCTTCGAAAAGTTAGTTCTCACCAAAGAGAGATCCTGTGAACAGGTCCACACTACTTAGTTAACGCATTCTTTTAACAGCGATGCCTGTTACTTTGCACACCACCCTACTCCAGACCATTGTGAACAGGAACACAACGACAGTATTCTCATTCTCGTAGTTTAAAATACTGAAATGGAAACCGAGGATTAAGCGTTGAGCAAGTAGTAGGATCCAGTGCGGGTCGATATGATGGTCCCACGACGAAGGCTGCGTTGACCACTTTTTGGCGGCAGGATTCACTGTAGTTAATAAAGATCTCACTGTTAAACTGGTTTATATCGAATCTTGTAGCTGCTAGTTCAGAGCTAGAAATCCTCTGCAAGGCGTGTCGTCGTTTTTTCCGGTACTGGGTTCGAAGGCTTGCAGCTTTGTGCTTGCGACAAGACAATTATCATTAATCGATTAAAAAATGCAATAGATACCGCAAGTTATCGGTTAAAACACGAGGCAACATGTTATCTGGCGCTTAACAAGTTGTAATGTTTAGCTTCAAGCTCTGAATATGTGTCGATTGATTAGACTTTTAACGACATGGACAGACAAGACCAGCAGCTTGACGATCTCTAACCGTTCTCAGCACTTTAGATCTCAACTATCTGTTTATGTCCTCCGCCATAATTTTTTTTAAAACCTCTATTTCATAAGCACCACATAACATTCTACGTTCTCTACTTACCATGAGAAGATCAATAAACATATTTCTTATCGTATTCCTTTACATTTTAACTCCTAACCTCTTAGCATTTAGTGCATGATTCAAATGTTCCCAAAATCGTTCGACCGGCTTCTGCCTTTCATTGAGGGGTTCACGAATGATTCAGGTTTGTTTCACTGTTTTGAGTAATCAAAACAAATCACTGATTTATTGATTTGCTTCGATTTTTTTGGTGAAGAATTGCAAATGCATAGGAATTTTTACAGATGATGATGTCAGACTAACCTTAGCATCATTTTACCATGAAATACTAATGATGCATCCTACCAAAGTAGAACTAGTACAACCGTTTATCGAACTCATACGTGGAGGTTCACCTGAAGTTGTAGCAAAGGTCTTGTATTTATTTTTACTTTTGTTTTTGTTACATTCTTCTGTAATTTTATTTCTGAAGTCATAAACGACAGCACTAAGATAATTCGCTAGTCCTGTCCAAGATTAACGGAAAAATGAAATAAGCTATCGGACATTCGTTCTCAAACCTTAGCGTTGTCATAGAACGTTTGACTTATCTAGAAAGAAACTAAAGTGTTATCCAGAAGTCGTGCAGGCAAAATTTCACTGTCTACGTTAGGTTCTAGGTCACCTAGAAATCTTACGTAATGAAGATAAGTGGTAATAGGATATCTACATTTTACTTTGTACGTAATAATACTTATTTGAATACTTGGATGGCCAGCCTTCATTGCTTGCCAGCGCAATTTACAATTTTTCGGAGGTTTGTCGGTTTATTTAGCCATTGTGGTTCTCTGGAGTCCCAAGGTCAGCATACCCAGTCTGTCCCAAGTCGTCACCACTACAAGCAGCCGCGGCCATTGTGGATCAGAGGGAGATTTGCCATCGTTTGACTGGTTTGACCAGGACGGTGGTGAAACCTGATATAGATTTACTCTCAGCTAGAGTTCCCGATGGAAACACCGGTCTCGTTCTCAGCTTGAGAACCCCTGCTGGAGGGATAAATCAACCCGCTGTATATAGTATCCCGACACCCAAGAACACTTTCCAGCCACGATATGGCGGTAGACCATTGGGTGGGTACATGATATTACCACTTCAAAACGCCTTAGTTGGTTTTAGATATGTGAAATAGATCATATTCCTAGTCCTATCCACTAATATTCTTTTGAAAGCAATCGTAAGCGTGATTGCAGGTAATTTCTCTGCAAAAACAAACTGATTGACTTCAGTAAGTCATAGTTTGTTTCAGGGTTTCCGTATGTCTACATACAGACGACAGGAATGTAAAAAAAGATGTTTCTCGAATATTTATGTCTATTTTTACAGCTCACTTTCAACATGGACAAAACATTACCAATATTGTACAAATGTGCCTTATCAAGCTCTGGATCTCGAGTGAGTTATGTTCTGTTTTAGCGCGCTTACACACTTAATGGTCTAAAAAGAAGTAATAAAGACAAAAGACCAGTTTTGTTTTGATGAAAGAGAAAACATAATAGAAGAAAGGTGTCGTCAAATAGCGTGTTTTACCTGCATATTGGTGACACAATTGGTAGTTCGAAAAATATCAACTTCGACTAAGTCCTGTTAGGTATTTTTTGCCGTAGTAGTTAACAGTACCTTGGGAATTAGTGGTTTACGTTAAAATGTTTTCTTAAGTCTTACTAAGGAGTTGTTTTAAGGACGATATACTTTGTCCTTTGCGTGAGATCACATGTTACCCATTGAACCATCGAGGCCCTCGCTTTCGAACACCACGATTTCGCCCACCGCCTCGGTTTACTGGGTTCGGTGCCATTTTGTGCTCCCCAGATCATTCCCGTTGATGGGTGATTGCTGATGGCTGGTGGTACCATTGGAATGAAGGATTGGCTGAAAGCTAGCCAAGGGGTCTGGATGGTGCAGTGGATAACAAGTGAGCTCCCAGAAAGGGCAGTCATGGTTACAAATCTGAACTGAAGTCCGTATTCACCAAATATCTCAGCATCATTGTGGTTTTGTTTCACATAATGCCCTTCTGTGAAAAAAATAATAGGCGGTATAGGGGGAGTTAAACATTGATCTATACATTGTTCATCTAGCAGTATTCTATGGAACATTTGTTTACAGATTATCGTCTTACAGAAGAATGGTCCGTGTAAAAGTACTCGCCTACTTGAACTGCTATTGTTTGCCGCTGAGCTGATTATTTAAGTTTAACCACTATGTTGCTGAGGTATTTGCAGAGCTCAGGCCAGATCGAACCCCTGATTACCCTTTTCGTGGGCTTATGTGTTGCCCGCCGCACCGCTGAGGCCCTTGTTTTGCCCTTCTCTCAGCCAGTATTTCTACCCTTACGGGTGCTGTAAGCAATCAACCATCAATAGGAACGATCTGGGGAGAACAAATCGGCATTAAACACAGTTAAACTGAGGGTGTAGTCGAAATCTATGATTTTATGATCGTTGAGTGTTTTCAGAAAGTCACCACAGTGCAGTTGGATCGTATTCTGGTCGGATGTAATCAAGTACTTCGTGGGACGGGGTCGTGGAGAAGTCATGCTGCGCTTCTGGAGCACATTAGTGTCCTGAAAACATGTCTTTCATATACACAGCTAGCGGAGACTTTTATTCCTATGCTACAAAAAGAAGTTCTTCAAGCGGTAAGTCAAGCTAGTGTTTTTTGTTGTTGTTTTTGGCAAGAATTATACAAGGAAATAATAACAGTGCGCGATGTTTTACATTTTAGGCAATAGTATGCACAAAATATTCTACATTATATGAAACTAACGAGAACTAACCAGACTTCTGTGTGTAAACACGTTTTTTTTGGTTAGCTGTTTAAAGGAGCACGTGTAGCGCGATGGTTAGAGGTACCGTGCAATACACATGGGATCGGTCCCACGCCCAGGCTCACCAAGCCTTCCATCCGTCTGGCGGCGGTAAATTGGTACCAGACCTGTCTGGAAAGGTAGCAGCACTGGCTCGATTCGCCGCTGGTCTACCGCGAGTCAGTGTATAGGCCAGACATGCATTCAGTCAACTCTAATGATGCTTATCGAAGTCGAATGAATTGCGCATGGAGATTGATCATCGCCGATACCTTTATCTTCTTATCCTTTAACCTGTTTAGATATTTGAACCTGTTTCATTTTTGCGCCTTAAATATTTGTTTATGGTTGAGGTGCATAAGCATCTGCAGTTTTGCATTTTCACTCGATAGTTCATAAGAAACCGTTTCTCTTGAAACATTTTTCAAGTTCGTTGTGTCGACGAGTGCGGGTCATTGGATGGTGCTAAGAATTTGCGTCATTATTCCAAAAGGCCAAATTTAGGGAACTACTTGAATATTCGATTTTGGCATTGGCACTCTATGGTGTGTATACTTCAGTCTCGTTAGAGGGGTAGCGTGTGTAGAAAATCTATTAGTTTCAATAGGAGAGGAACATATCTCGTTTATAATCTTTTGTAATTTCATCTGTGTTCAGCGAGCCATTCCCTGTCGCCTGGCAGCTGCTAGCACATTGTTACAATTTATGAGAGAACAACCAGAAAAGAAGAAACGCGAGGAAACCATTGAATTCTTGAAAAAAGGTCAAAGAGGTTAAATCAGCTGATTCATTAGTGGTCCTTTCGTCCAAGTGTAATAAAATTTGTTTTTTCAAAGGTGTCGAGCTATAAGGACGACCAGCACCTAACTTCTTTACAGAAGTAGCATGCCATGCAAATTGCTATCGTCGCATGCTGTATTTGGACATCGTTGAGTTGGTGCTGAATCTGTTCAGTCGGAAGTTCTTCATTCATTATTTCCTCGATAAACTACTCTCACTTACCAGTGATAGGGTTTCAAATATTAGGTGAACTTTTGAGATTTCCTAAAGCTGTCTTCTTCCTTTTCTGCTTTTTACTGTGTGGTGAAAATTCTGGAATTTCCCTTCATTTGGAATGAAGTGCAAGCGATATCCCTTTTATTGTAATAGCGACAATAGCCAGTAAATTTGGAATGAGACTGTTTTACTGTGAGAATGCATGTGAGCTTAAGTAAGTTGCATATTTTCCAGACTTAGGACAGTACGGATGCTGGCAGTTGTGAAAAGACATCTGATTCTACCAGATGATGAAGCGGTTCTACTGAGTTTGGAAAGGTCTGTGAGAGAAGTTCTTACTACGGAAAAGCAAACAAGTACTCGGCAACTTTTGCAAGCGGTTAGTTTAACACGTACATTTTCTTTAGTTAGACCTCTTGATGCTACCTTACATAGGCGTGCAATTTTGGTCTTATGAAAACCAAAACTAATTGGTATGGTCTTCCTTGTCTGTCGTTCTTTTTCCTATCTCTGCTTCCTTTTAGGCAGCATGCGAGTTGTCGCGGACAGAGGCTAAAAGCAAAAGCGACAGAGAAGATGCCACTCGTGAAAAAGAGCAAGACCGTCTGTGGGACGAGGACAAACTAAAGCAGCAAACAACGCTCAAAGCAGTAGAGCCACAGAATTTAAGGAGCTCGAAAGCAGCTCCGAACTTACCCAAGTAAGTTCATTTATTTTTTGGACAGTAAGTGGTCTCTTCATGCGTTCTTAAGACTATGTTGTCAAAGAGCATCTTTATGCGTTAATATTCACCTGCAAGATTTACAGAATTTCGAAATAGAGGTAGTGGTCTTGGAAGGGTTTTTGCAAGTCTTCGTGCACATTTTTCATTTAAGGCTGATTACTCCTCAAGAACACAATATTCAGCACAAACTTATTCCTATTAACTTTATCGAGAGCGCTTGAGCACATGAAATACTGTAGTCTTTAATTTAGGCCACCTGAAACACGTTCTTCGCCGTGGAGGACCCAGCGACGAGCTGTGGCTGTGGTTCGTCCTCAGCCCGTCGTAGTTGTGAGGTGCTTTTAATATGATGCATTAACTAATGTGACATTAACCATTAACCATTAACCTAAAACAGTTATGTTTTAGAAAGAAAGATTTGTTGTAGGTCTGCTAGTCCAATCCCGAAACTCAGCGATAATCGACCAAGCCGGTTGCCTCTCAGTGTTGTTAGAGAGAGAGAGGCATTGAAAAAAGGTAAGATTTGGCCTTCTTAAGATCAAAGCACTATGGAATATTGGTTAAGACTAAGGAGCGCATTTATTAGCGATTGCATTGTGATGGAGTTCTACTGATTTGCTGTTTAGCGGCCACAGAGCCATCACTTCCTCGTCCATCAAATCGTGCTATCCCTTCGGTGACCCGGAATAATATGAGTACTTCGACGTCATCTCTGGAAACCACATCATCACCGAGTGAGCTTATATTATTGTGTGAAGGCATAGTTCTGACTCTGTTATACCATCACATTGATGTACTTCTTTCTATGAGAACTTGAGCGCTTGTTCTTTATTCGTCTCGCAAGAGCAGATTTTTCTTTTTGCTGTAGTCTTTTGTCCGTTTTTAAACCAGTAGTGGATGCTTTAAAAATTATATAGCTTAATAGGTACCATAATGAACAAAAAAAATAGTTGAAAGGTGGTTTTTCATCTGGACTTTGTGACCTAAGACTCTATGCATTCTGAAAATCTTACTTAACTATGAAGGTTTTATGCAGAAGTCGCTTAAGGGCTTCCACCATTTACGAAGATTTCATTGACTTCAAGTTACAAAACGAGAGTGTTGATTATCTTTTTCAGTTTTTGGTTTTTTTTTATGAGTTGCAATTCTAGGTGGATACGCTCTTCGAAGGTCTGCTACGACAACGACAGCTTTTGGCAGTGGCGGAACTTCGACAAACTCATCATATTCGCTTATGTCATCACGGTAATCGTCTAGTTTTCCTTTCGTGTATTTTGTTTCCTTGAGATTAGAAACAACATGTCATTTCTGATCGAAACGGACTAGACATTGTCGCGATATGACCAAATTTTGTAAAGCAGTTATGTCATTTTCGTTGCCAAGGGCTGAAAAGACGGAAGTCTAGGTATTGATTTTTCGTGGAGTCATATATGGGTTCTTGTTTTTCTTTTTAGGCAAGGGTAAATTGAAATAACGGTTTTCTTCCAATGGTTTACCGCCTCATCGTGGCTGGGAGGTGTTCCTGGGTGTCGGACTGCGATGTACAGCGAGGGATTCATCCCTCGGACAGGGTCTCCCAAGCTGAGAAGGAGTCCGGCGTTTCATCAGGAAGCCTAACTAAGAGTAAACCAATACCAGGATCCACCACCGTCTTGGTATCAAAGTTGCATGATGGTAAATCTCCCTTTGATCCACGTGGGCTGCGACTGCCTGTCGTGGTGACGACCTGGGGCAGACTTCGGCCAGGCTGTCCTCGGGATTCCAGGGATTACCAATGGCTTAACCAGCAAATTTCCGAAAAATGGTGATTATGCTGGGGCTCGCACAACTAGTGATGAGGGGCTGTTCAAGTATCAAGTATCAAATTGAAAGGAAAGGCTGTAGAACATACTCCTGTCATTCTGCAGCGTTAATTTGTTCTTCAACCCAAATAGTTGTGCCAATCAGCTTCCTCTTTTAGATCATCGTCCAATATTCGTCGACCATCCTATGGTCTCTCACGCGTGTCCAGTCAAAGTACACTGGAAAGGAAACCTGGTCACATGTCATTGAAAGTTCGAAACATGGAAGCATGAGACGACATGTCTGTTCCTTCTTCTTTGAGCTTGCAATTATTGGGCTATTTTCGAAAATTTTCGTTTTTCCGCAGGGTTCTTAATATACTCAGATCATCGATTTGCTCAGAATTTCTCAGATTTTTGAGTGAGGATTTTAGGAATCAAATATTGTAGATGGAAGTGAAATCTAGTTTGAATAGTTTCAATGAATAGAATATTAGATGTACTCGACTAATAAGATGATTCTAAATATACGGTTCTCTTGCTGCAATGGGAATAAATTCAGAAGCTTGACAGGTTTTCCTTTTGTCTTCATATTTGTGCCTTTTCAGTTCATTTCCTCATTTAGGGTTTTGCTCTGGACATAAAGTTTTTGAACGGTGTTCAGGATCAGTAATTTATCTCAGTAGTTCTTTTGGCAGAATATGTTCCATTGTAGACTGCACCATTCTCTGTTTTTCCATTTTGTCTACATAATGAAAGGTTTCATAAGTGATATTAGCGTTGGCATGTTTTCAAAAGGCAGTCCTTGGTTGGAGGTGTCTTTTTGGAAAAGAGAATGTAAAGGGTTTGAAGAAAAAAATCGCTTCAATTAGACTTTGTTAACATGGGGATGTAAGAGTGGTACGATTTCGTTTAAAAATACCCTTCGCAACCTAGCCTTGGTTTTTAAAGGGTGAAGACTTTGAGATATTGGCTCTACAGGTACGAATTGATTGGTTATAAAGACGCTTAGAAAAGTTGAGTAATCGAGGCTGAAGAACTGTAGAAAAATGCATCCATAGGGATATATAGAGGGCAGAGCCTGTGCGAAGACGTTGATTCTTGGCCATGGCGTTCTTTCCGCTATACGTTCAACACGTGTCGACAAAATTGTTGGTGATTCGCGTTTAACGGATGTCGCCTTGAAACGTTAAGTGTCCGGCTAGTGTTCAACATGTTTCGTAAGGTCCATGATCTTCTATCGTCAACGTCCGGATTTTGTCTTTAGCATGCAACAGGACACTTCGACAATCATCTCTTCAGTCACAGTATTCAAAAGCGCTCACATCATTCGATTGTGTAGCGACACAGGATCATAGGGACGAATAGAAGAATGGCGAACCCAGTGGCTTTTTGTCTTTACTGTTGTTGCTGATATGCAGGCCTACTGACTCTACCATAAATATACGTAACATTCACAGCTGTTCTTCGTTTCAACGCTCGTAAAATGTATATCAGAAGGAAATCCGTTTCTGGTGAATATCGTTTCATTTTGATTTCAAACAAAGACCGATCTTTCCAGATGCGCCATTGAAGTCGTGAGCCAACCTGGATTACTTTGCCTGGATTACTCTTGGTGTTATTGAAATTATGTCATCAGTGAAAGCGAACTGCGTCTAGTGGCTGGCTGTGGAACTTTCAGAGTCTTATAAGATCCCATATACGTTCTTGTATGACTTTCTTGAAAGTAAAACAAGGAACACTTTCGGTGAAGGTTTTCAACGCTGAACGCTGAACACTACGTGTTCATGAAAAGTAGAAAAATGACCATTACATTGTGGTGTTTTGTCTGTATTTCCATCAAGTAAGACATACCTCGCCATACCTCGCAACGGTTTACCGGCCCATCGTAGATGGGAGGTGTTCCTGGATGTCGTGCCGCGATGTACAGCGGGCATTCACCCTGGCAGTGTCACCTTCCCAAGGTGAAAATGAGTCCGGCTTTTCCATCAGGAAGCCTAGCTAGGAATAAGCCAATACTAGAATCCGTCACCGTCACATATCAAACTAGTCTCATGGTGGCACGTCTCCCTCTGGTCCACAAAAGCGGCGATTGCCTGTGGTGGTGACGACCCGAGCAGACTTTGGCCAGGGTGACCTCGCGACTTCAGAGAACCACGATGGCTAAACCAGCAAAACTCTGGAAAAAAAAGTTTTGCTGGAGCTCGCACAATCGGTGAAGTCGGGCGATCCAATTATATAAGTGATTTAATAGTTTCAAATTTCGACATAGTCTACAGCGCAGTTAGCCAGCGGTTAGTGCTACTCTGAGACTGTAGGCAAGAACAGTCTGTAGTCCCCAAACGATTTGAGTGCGCGACTGGAAGACCGAGAGTCCGATGCTCAGAATTTTTCAGGAACGACTGCGCATAAGGTAGTGGAATGGTTATTTTAATTTCGTTCACGCAACCACTCAGTAATCAACAGAACATCTCTATGCATGATCTTACGAATTACCCTCTTTTAGCTGACGCGAGGTTGGTACAGATGTTCTTATTCTTGTTGCTGTCTCTGCTCAAAAATAGCTGACGTTTAGGCGATTTCGCTTTCGTGAGAGCCTTGCCGTTAGACCATTTGTGTGTTGTTCACGAGAGATGCTCGAATCACGAGGTGTTATGAAATATTATCATTTATATTGAGATCAAACGTCCGCTAGATCTACCTCAAGTGAAAGCCCTTGTTTATCAATATGAGCGATAAGTTTGTGAGTTGCAAGGGACTCATTCTTGTGTTGGTGGCATTTCTATGAGGTGGAATGATTTGGTTGTTCTAGCGAGTGCCATTTTTCCATGCAATGCTTTTTTTGCAAAGTTTTGGGGCACGTCATCTTAGATGGATTGATTAATATGAAATTCTTTCTACCAGGTAGCGGTCTTCGTTGAAGGACTGTTCCGCTTCACAATAGGTAGACTTTTCGAACTTTACATAAACACTTTATGGTCATAGTTGATATGCTATAGGAGTAGGATTTTAAATCAGTAATAGCCTTCGAGAGACAATATAGGTTAGAATGTTTTCTGGGACATATTTTTGCTAACTTTTCTTCTCGACACTAACTTAACCACATCCTTCTTGAATCCTAGGCTCACCATGAAGCCACAGGTTTGTTCTTCGCGCTAATATCTGCATATGAAGAGGCGAATAGTACGGTGGTGGTGATGCCGGTTATCATGCACGCGGTGCTGGTACGATCCCACCCCAAGCTCACCAAGTTTCTCATCCTTCCTGGGTCGAGGAATTAGTACTGAACTTGTTCGGAAAAAATCATTGTCTGCAATCCAATTGAGATCGCTCTAGACCTGCTGTCTCAGTACTCCAGTTAGAATCGGCTCGATCGGCATTTTATGACGTTCAATATGAAGAGAAAATCCTAAAGCAGCAGTCGAAGTGACTCGTAAAAGTTGGAAGACCTTCGTTGATGATGAAGTGAGGAAACGAATCCAATGTGAGGAGTGCTGGTATCCGCACCGTAGACGAGAAGACGAGTTGTATAAAATAAAATGTAGATAAATATATACATATATAGGGGCACACTGGGCTTTTCTCTGTAGCTTCTTGTGTCGTGGAGAATATCCACTTTAATAGTAACACAGGGAAATCTATTTTTTAAACTTATACTCAACGTTTTTATCCGTACAATTTCAAAGCAACACTACAGCATAATGTCCATCGCTAAGTGGTAACTGGTCAAGGGTTATGCTGTGAACTGGTGTGCAAATCATGTTCGTTGATCTGTAAACAAGTTATTCAATGCATGGCTCGAAAGTGGATCAGTAATCTCTTCATTGACGCTCCAAAATTATCTAGAAGGATCTACTCACTTTCAATGTCACAATTCTCGTAAAACGTCTTATAATCTTACTCTTTTGACGAAAGATAATATTAACGAAAAGGATAAAGCGTTCGGTGCTAACCAGTCGCTCAGGGGTGTCGGGTGTCTATAAGACTCTATAGTACAAGTGAATGATTACATGCTTCGCTTATACAAAGCTTTGCGGTGTCCTGGTGATGCATCAAGTTAATGCTGCTGTCATCCCAGACAACTCTGCTAACAGTATGCCGTCCCCTGCCTCTATACAATTTGTTAGGCGTTTCTTCCGTGCAACGATAACATTTGTTTTATGAGCATGCCGAAGCGAAAAAATTTTTAATGACAGCAAAGTACGATCTCTCTAAGGTTCGACAAAGTGGCTGAAACGTGACTTGGACTATGACTTCGCCTTTGGCTTGGCCTTGGGTTTGGCTTTGGCTTAGGCTTAGGCTTAGAATTATAGATTTAGAATAGACTTAGGAATAAAAGAAGGAAGATCTAGAGAAGTTGGTTTCAGGAAATAGAGACGTATAACTTAGGGACGTAGAGCTTAGAACACAGAGCCTTGCAGACAGGATACTTAGAACGTTAAATATGAAAAGCTAGGCTTAGGCTTAGAGGCTTAGTTTCATGCTGAAGCTTAAACATAGGCGTAGGCTTTAGCCTAGACTTATGCATTGCTCTAGGAGCCATTCTTATTTTAAAGCCTCAAATTAGGAATCTCTTCAAGTTTTCAGTAGTTATCCGTTAACAAGAGCGAAGCTTCTTTTGATCTTATCCGATCCTTTCTTCTCGTAGGCAGATTCACCTCTAAAAATTTATTCTTAATCTGACATTGATGCATTATACTTCTTGATTGAACCCTTAATCAGAATCATGAGATGAGATTTTATAACAAAAATCTGAAAACAACGATACGCACTCAGCACAAGTTGCCAGACTTATTGCTTAGATGCGGCTGACTGGATGATTTTTCTCATCGCATGCAAGAGTTGGATCACGCATCATCATGAGTGCAACAACATCACATGTATTGCGTTCAATGCGGTGCAAGAGTGAAAAATTACTGGTGTGGTTACCAAAGGGGTTACCTCTTGTCTTGAACGTTTCGAGAGACCGGCTGGTGTAGGTAAAGCCATTGTCATCCCGTGTCCTCCATGTCGCCACTTTGTACATATTGAATTCAGTGCATAGCACGCGATGATCTAGTCGTAGTCTAATGCAACCACGAACAAAATAAAAAAGTTGTCGTGGAAGGATTAAAATTGCCATGATGTAACGACCACCACACGTCACTGAGAAAGTAGTTCGGACTTCAAAATTAGTATGAAATTAAGGAATCACTAAACAACGGTATTTATTGGATTAAAAACAATGACGATTTGCGATGTGAATTAAACTTCTTCGCTGCGTTAGATTCTTGTAAAGATTATGTTCAGCTGTTCGACAGTTCTCATACTTCCAACGGAGTCGATTTTTAACGGTAACTCCTGAAAGAGCCCTATCCTTTAACTCCTGAAATATTCTTTTTTATTGAGAAGTCAATTACGACGATGACCATGATAATAATGATTACTTTTTTGTTCAGTACCAGTTGTTTAAAGCATTACCAGTATTTTTTGTGGTTGCATTTCATATCTCCTTAGAATATGCGCCAATGCCGTTTTCATTTGCATTTGAGCGACACGCATCCCAATGCAATTACGTGGCCCATAGCCGAATGGTACATAGGTCAACGGATCACGATTAAGACGGTTGCGCATGGACCATCTGAAGTGAAGACAAGTGATAGCATATAAATACTGTTATGCATTTGGTTATTAAAACTAATCAACAAAGGAATGGAGGAAAACTTTACAGTAGCCTACTTTAAATTACGTAGGTTATGTACAATAATTTTCGTTTCCGTCGTGTGCCAAAGCTACCTGTGAAATTCAGCTTGTTCATGGGACTCGAAGGTAATATTTTTTCGACGTAGTTCCTATTTTCATTCTGGTTTTTTTAAAAACAACCCTGTGGGTTTCTCACGAGGCAAGTGACCACTGGGAAAAATAGAAAGCGACCATTATTTTTTATTTAAATGTATGGTTAGGGATTTTAAGCATATTAGTATCCAAAAGAGTAAGTTTTCACGTGGGGCGTGGATAGTGCAATAATAGAGGCCTTTCAATATGGCTTAGCTTTGCTTTAACCCTGAAGCGGACCAAACTCTCCCATTCCTTTGGAATGGTTAAGATGGTACCAGAATTGTCTCTGAAGAACTCTATTCTAGTCAAAAACTGTAGCAAAAAACTGCCGACTGTTTATAGTAAAGTACTGTGAACGGCTTAGGACGGCCATCTCAGGAAACTCCCACAACCGACTTTCTATTAACCTCGGCATTGATCAAGTAATTCTTCGTATTTTTGTTGAGCAAACGCGAGATGTTATTATTCTTTATTCACGAATAAGCTGACGTTTCGGCGGATTTCGTCTTCCTCAGAGTCTGGAAAGCTCAAGTTGATAGCAATCTATTCGGCCAGATACCTCCATAACCAAACAAAGAAACTCTGAACCAAGATTTCAACCACGTTGAACACAGCATTGCACATTCACCGCTTTTTATGAGGTTTCCACTATGTCGTGTGAAGACCAACCGCACAGAAATCACATGGAAGCATAATGAAGGCTATCTCAGGGTTCAATTGGGAATCAGTTCGACCAGCACTTAGCAGGACTTGTTAGGAAAACCAATATCGCCAATTAATACCCAAAACCAACGCAAATCCGAAGACCGTGGATGATGAGTGCAACAGGAGAACTCATGAGCATGGGATTAGCACAACATATGATGTCTGGTCATGTAGAAGTGTGATGTGAAAAGTAAAGCTTTTACAATCACTGAACTGCTGTCACGCTATATTTCTAGATTTTTGAAGGTGATACCTGTCTGGATCGAAGGCTTTAGGATCCGGATAGAACTCTTCGCAGTAGTGAATCGCCCGAATGGGAATGCTGAATACACAGCCTTTCTTGATTTTGATTCCTTTAATTGTAATGTCTTTGGTGCAGAGGCGATTTGTTCTGAAATAGTACTATATAAAAGTAAAGGAAAAACTTTTTGTTTCGTATGAATAAAACAGATCCTTCTTCATTCTCATCTACCAAGACCTCAAGTAAAAATACGAATAAGCTCTCATTTCCTTGTTGTTATCGATCATTATCGGTCTATAATTTCATCTTCCTCTTCGTTTTTTTTTTGTGATTTGAATCCATTCCAACTCACGGATATTGTACGCCTTCTAAGGTTCACGTCCTCATAGCTGTAGTGAATTGCATTAAGGAGCTCAACAACAACATACATTGTCTGTTCATCCCCAGTAATATCACGAATTTTGGTTAGAAATCTGACAAGAAAGTGAGGGTGTCGGTTAAGAGTTGACCATTTTTGCTGGAGGTTTCGTTACCAACTGAAAAGCTCTATATAGTCTCTAGAAAAAGAAAAAGGGAACGAAGTGTCTCTTCAGAGCAGAAAAGTGGGGGAGTGTCAGTGTAGAAAATCTCATTTGATATCTCAATCGACCCCATCGACAATAAAGATGCTCCCTCTTATGAATCCCACCAAAAATCACACCACACCATGCATGGTGCTTTACCGTCTTCGATGCCCAAACAATGTCTGACCGATTATTCCACACGAATTTTGGAAAGTACCACTTTCCTCGTGAACAATCTTCACTTGAAATTGACTGTTGGAAGATCAGCATGCGTTTTAAAGGCACTGATCACATCAAGTATGCAGCCATTGCGGCGAACACCAATGTCATCAATCACACTTCGTCCACCCAAGATAGAACAATCGCATCAAAGCATATTGGGAGTGACTTGTGTTCGTGCTCCATTAATAACATAGAACTTTCCACACCACGTTGTCCTTGCATAAAAACAGAAACTAGTTGGACCTAAATCTTAAGAGTTGAAAAAACTCGTAAAAGAATCACCTATACGGGCTAGACAACCTCCGGAAAACTCAAGACGCAAAGCCACGTTAGAAAATCGTCTTGTTAGTAGGAAGTCGCTCTTGGAAACTATCGTCTTACTTTTCAGATGTTCAACTTTTACTTCAATGAGGTATTCGGCAGGAATTGCAGGTATTGCATATCTTTGTCAATTGATTTCTCATGCAACTTCGATTCTGAAGCCCATCCATTTTATCCTCTAATCTCCATTAAGGAAAATGATATTAAAGAAAAAGAAACAGTAAGGTCTTCTCCATCCGTGCTTTAAAGCGGACCATGTATCCATTTCCGTTGAAAAACACATAGATTCTGTGAAAAGTGGAACTCTTCAAATTTACTTCAACATTAACCCAGTTCTCGACATTGTTAAAAACATGGGAAAATAATAAGAGCCGGGAATTGTAAATGACGACAGCGATTGAAGAAGATAAAGTACGAGATTAATTAGAACAGATTTACTTGCCCAGAATACCTAGTTAATTTGGTAGCGATATGAGGGATAAAAGGTAAAGTAAAATGGTGATTGAAATAAATATGCGTAGTTTTCCTTTGGTTATTGAACGAATTCGTCGCCCAGACGAGGAATTCATCTAAGCAAACAATTAGCTGCTTAATGAATTTTTTCCTGAATACAGTATCATTTCATCAATTTAAGTCCTAAATTAAAAAATTACGACCACCTCACAACAGGTGGATACATTCGAAGCGTTTCTGTGATGCACTGCTCGACGTAGTTCATCTCATTCAGCATTTCATAGGTGATTTTCTCCTAAAATGAACGGAATGACAACATCGGAAACGATCCACTTATGTGTAGATTGGCAGATATTTCATCAAATAACCTCATCACCACATATTCGTTGGATTTCGTCTCTACAACGTCTTTGAATATCGTCGTTGGCGGCCAGCATGTAGAGAACAAGGTGCAAAACTGCCGGCGTAGTTTCGAACCCGGCCAACACGAACATGAAAGCCTGACAAATTTACAGAATAGTTTCGTTTTAGCTATATTCTCCTTGCATTCATAGTGAATGAATGGAAACACAAGTGAAGACGAAAAATTTGCTTGTTATGACGACTCCAATAAGGGATCGTTGGAAGTTTTACTTACTTGGGTACTTGGATATTTTCATGGCTCGTCTTCACTGCTTATGAGGGCCACAGCATAGTTTAAATTTGCTGACTTAAGTACTGCGGTTTCCTGGAGTTCAAAAGCCAGCCTAGCTGGAGCCTTCCTCAGGTCGTCACCTCCTATGTAGTCGCCGCCCTCATGGATAAGGAAGAGATTTAACACCATGCAACTAGTTTAATACCAGGACGGTGTTAATCACTGGTATTTGTTTGTTTTCATCTAGGCGTTGACTCATTTTCAGCTTCGAAAGACCTGCTGGGCCGACGGACAACAGGAGCACCGAGCCACGATGAGGCGATAAACCGTTGGGAGGCTTTAGAAATTTTATAGAAAGTATCTAGGAAACTCTTAAAACACCCCAGTTTTTTCTGAAACACTATGCTTTCGATTCAGAGCTCTAAAACTGACCTGTCCCATAATTTCTCCCTTTGTAAGACCTTTCCTTCCACTCTGCAAATGAGACTCTTCGATTCTGTCGCCGTCTCTAACGAGAATATCAAGAAGAATTTGAAAAAAGTCGTTGCGTTCCTGAAAAAAATCGCAAAAATTTTCTGGAAGAAACGAAAAAGCAGTGATCAAGTAAATAACAGACAACTCCATTAATTGTCTTCCTATCTTTAAACATCGTTTCCAGGACATCGCTAAAAAATTTGTTAGCGGCGTTGTTGATCAAGGATATCCCGGTTAACCTTTGAAATGTTGAGCAGATGTTCGGAAATAGAACTGAAAATAGGAATATCTCCTCACAAGGCTTAAATCTTGATAAGTCATACATTTAAAAAAGTCCTAAACTAAAATGAAAGGTAGCTACAATGATGCTGAGATACTTGCAAAATTCTGGACCACAGGTGTTTGCGGTGAGGAAGGAGCCCGCGCTATTGTCCTTTCTGGGGAGTAACGCGTTCACCAACACACCATGCGAGTCCTTCGTTTCGCTTGTCTCTCAGCTAGTTCTATCGATCTTTGCCACAGCAATCACCCCCCAACGGGATTCATCTGGGGGGCACAAATTGGCAACGAACCCAGTTAAGCTGAGGCTGTAGTTATAAATAAGAGTAGGCAGTAAATAATAAGTTAAAATTGTGATTATAACTAAAGCCTCAGCTTAACTGGGTTCGTTGCCGATTTGAGCCCCCAGATCAATCCCGCTGACGGGTGATTGCTGTGGCAAAGATCGATAGAGTTAGCTGAGATACATGCGAAACGAAGGGCTCGCATGGTGTGGTGGTGAACGCGTTTGGAGTTTTGCAAATATCTCAGCATTATAGTAGTTATATTTCGCAATATACCCTGCAATTAAAGAAGAATAAGCAGTAAATAATAAGTTAAAATGAAAGGAACCAACCATTAAGACTTCTATTACCCAATCGTGGTCAAACTGCAGTGAATAAAAAAAGGATAAAGTACTCGTCGTTGGTTAAACAGAGATTAATGTGCCATGCATCCCACTTCATTAAACATCGTTAGAAGTGGTTTAGACGCATATCCAACCCTTTTAGCTCCCAAACAACCCTGCTATCAATTTGCTGATCCCTGAGAATGCAGGGACCTCTAACCACTGCACAACGTCCTGCGGTGTACAACGAAGATCCATTCGCAGTGAACTCACAAAAACGGAAAGGTCGTTCTATGTTTTCATCTGGAACTCCGCACGAGCTGCTCAATGACCAACAGGACTACTGCGCCACTTAACGACACGTGTGGCGCAGTGGTCGGAGGCGCCCTGCAACACGCACATGGAATCTATCCCCGCACCCATGGTCCACCAAGCCTTCCATTCCTATTCTTGCTTTGTACGACTCGACGTCGTAGATTGCGCGTTTGACCCCAGCATCTTGTGCATTTGATTCGCTTATTCTGTATTCCACGACTATTTTCGTATTTTTGCCCGTCAGTTCAGTCGCTATTTGAGGATTTTTGGTCTTCCGATTGTGGATGATTGCAAGGCGTGACGATTGCTTCTCAATCCTAGAGTAGCTGTGCAAGTAGGTTTCCAATTCTTCACCATATGCCATCGCCAAGAGTTGTGGGTAGGAGTGAGCTCCTCATATAGAAGTTTGACATCAATGTTCCGACTTCGGAGAAACGATAGACTTGGTTGACTAGAGGGTGGGTTATACTAGACCCTAGCCAGTAGTGATGGAAATCACTACCTCTACATTACAAGCGCCCTTAAACAACTTATATGGATACGATTGATATGACTCATCGTCTTAATACCTATATCGAAGCTTTAAGTGGCAAAATAAAAAATAAACAAAATGATCAACAAATTATTATGCAGGAAATGCAACATGAAAATAAATCGGCTCCTGCGTGAAATTTCTGGAACCTACTGACGACCGCGACTTCTGGTGAACGTAGATCGAACTCTGAAAACTTTTTCGCATAGTGAAAAAATGGCGAAGATGTGTTGTTTTGCACGTGGAAGTTGTATCCGAATGCACATTTCGATGTCATATCCAAAGTGAGTCGAGTGATAACACTGAATAGTAAAACGACACTTCTGCCAGCTGTTCACAATCAAAAAGAACTTCTACTTACTCCTTAATGGGCACTGCTGTGCCGTGCATTTCGTACTGGTCCAGAATTTTCGTGCATATTTTCGAACATTCGTTGAAGATCGGGATCATCTTGAAATCGCTATTTCGGCTAAACTCTGTCAACCGCGGTTTTTGTTTTTATAAATTGGGTTTGTTTTCTTGATTTTAGCAATGGTTGCTACAGATCTCACATTTTTAGGCCACAGGTCTTAACTATTAGTCTAAATTATTGTGCAAAACCTGTGATGGATTAAATTCCTCCTCTGGAACCCTTTTGATCGCGATGCGGAAAATTTGGCTAGCTGCTGAGGAGACTAATATAATATGTGTTGAAGGAAAAAACGACTTTTACAGCTAACCTCACTTCGCAGGTAAATTCATCATTTATAAATTTCTTCTGACTCGCTACTCTGAGTGTTGTGAAGCGTCGACGATATATGGGGCGATGAAAAGTTCTATTACTAACTACTATTAAGATACTTACTTGGACACTTGAATGGTTCGTCTTCGCGGGTTGTGTGGGCCCTAGCATAATTTCCGTATTTTCGGAGTTTTACTGGCCTAGCCATTGTGGTTCCCTGGAGCCCTGAAGTCAGCCTGGCTGAAGTCTGCCACAGGTCATCACAAGCAGCCGTCGCCAGTGTGGAACAGAGGGAGATTTGCCACCATGCGACTAGTTTGATACCAAGACGGTGGCAGATCCTGGCACCGTTACTCTTAGCTGTGCTTCGTGATGGAAACGCCGGACTCCTCAAGTGGGAAGACCGTGCCGGGTGGATGATACTCACGCTGTACATTGCAGTTCGACACACGTAAACACCTGCCAGCCACAATGAGGCGGTAAATCGTTGGGAGCACTAAAACTACTATTGGAACTAATAAATACTTTCGTCACCAATCGGGGTCAACTGGCACCAGAGTAATTTCAGTAAACGCTAAACCACTCTCGTGCTAATCCACTACTTTCCTTTAATACTAAACTTCCGAAGCTTTAGATGTGAAGTGCATATTCACCAGGTCGACATAGACGTAGCGAAAAGGATTGTTCTCTAAAAGTTACTTCATTACTACTGCTTAGTACTTACTAGTTTAACTTTTCCAGTTGAAAATGCCGGCGCCACCTGACTACGAACTCTCGCCCAACGCTCGCTTTTCAAGGAGACGAGCGACGTTGCAAGGAGCGAAGTCTCATCGGATGGATCGACGTTGAGGAGATTCTGATCAGAACAAATCACTCGAATTAGAATATTACTCGAAAGTGGTTAAGTATTGTACACGTATCCTCAAGCATGCGTGCATTTCCGTAGATGCATGTGTATACGCTCGTATGTATGTCCTTATATTATATATATATATATTTATATATATATATATATATATATATATGCATGGTCATATAATTACGTATAATATGTTATATGTGCGTGCGTGTATGCGTGCATGCGCGTGTGTGTGTAAGGCAAATTCTTATTTCAAGAAAATCAAGTTACTGTTCTATCTGTGAAATGGTTAAAATCTTTG